AAGAGAGAATTATTGATAATGCATTCGCATACAGTTTAACACTTGATATATTTGAAGAAAACGAGGATCCAGAGCCAAAATCGGTTTATGAATGTCGGCAAAGAAATGACTGGCCAAAATGAAAAAATGCGATTCAATCAGAACTTGACTCATTAAACGAAATGAAGGTCTTCGGACCAATTGTTCAAACACCAGATGGTATAAAACCAGTTGGATACAAATGGGTGTTTGTACGAAAAAAGAAATGAGCTTAATGAAATTGTAAAATATAGAACACGTCTTGTAGCTCAGGATTTTTCATAGAGACTTGGAGTAGATTTTGATGAAACATACTCTCCGGTTGTTGATGGAATAATATTTAGATAACTTGTGAGCCTAGCAGTGCGAGAAAAGCTCGATATGCGTCTTCTAGACGTAGTTACTGCATATCTTTATGGCTCATTAGATACTGATATTTATATGAAAGTGTTTGAGGGATTCAATATTCCTAAAGCATACAAATTAAATCCAAAGAAATCATATTCCATCAAATTGAAAAAAGTCATTATACGGACTTAAACAATTAGGGCGAATGTGGTATAACCGTCTCAGTGAATGTTTAATAAAAGAAGGTTATACTAATTATCCAATATGCCCATGCGTTTTTATCAAGAAAAATAGATCAAATTTTGTCATTATTGCAATATATATTGATGATCTAAATTTAATTGGAACTTCAGAAGAGATCCAAATTGCCGTTGAATATCTAAAAAAAGAATTTAAGATCAACAATTTTGGAAATACAAAATATTGTTTGGGATTACAAATGGATCATGTGAACAATGCAATATTTATTCATCAATACACATATACCGAAAAGGTATTAAAACAATTTTATATGGATAAATCTTACTTTCTGAGTACACCAATGGTGGTCAGATCCCTTGATTCCAATAAAGATCCATTTAGGCCAAGAGAAGAAAATGAAGAAATACTTGGCCCCAAGGTACTATATCATAGCGCTATAGGAGCATTAATGTACTTTGCAAATTGTACAAGGCCAAATATATCTTTCTCGGTAAATTTACTAGCCAGGTTTAGCGAATCCCCCAAAAAGGTTGGAATGATATCAAACACATTTTTCATTACCTTCAGGGGACTCATGACCTCGGTCTATTTTATTTGAGTGAATCTCTAAATGAATTAATTGAGTATGCTGATGCTGGTTATCTGTCTGATCCACACAAAGCAAAATGTTAAATTGTCTATTTGTGTACTTGTGGTGGAACCGCAATCTCTTGGAGATCTAATAAACATACGATAACAACTACTTCTTCAAACCATACTGAGGTTTTAGAAATTCATGAAGCTAGCCGTGAATGCGTTTAGTTGAGGTCTATGACTCACCATATATAGAAAAATTGTGGCTTAATTACCGATGATATATTACCGCCTACAATTTTGTTTGAAGATAATGCAGCTTGTATAGCTTAGTTAAAGGGAGGATATATTAAAGACGATCAGACAAAATATATATCTCTCAAGTTTTTTTTTTGTACTCATTATCTTCAGAAAAATGGTAAAATTATTGTGCAACAAATTCGGTCGTCTGAAAATTTTGCAGATTTATTTACGAAGGCGCTGCCAACTGCAACATTCAACAAACTGGTACAAGGAATTGGAATGCGTCGACTGAAAGATATCAAATGAAATCCAAAATATGGGGAACGCATTAATACAAGAATTTTGTACTTTTTTTTCTTCACCATTATTTTTCCCACAAGGTTCCTTCGTAGTAAGGTTTTAACGATACATATTTTTTGTATAAAAATATCCAATGAGAAGTGTTATATACACGTCGATGCTATGTAGTATTTCTTAATTTACACACATACCTACGTATGTGTTGTGTAAGTATCATGTGGATGTTTTTGTGTGAATTGAGACATCTATATATATGTGTGTACTAATTCATTAAGATATCATATCAATTTGTCATCAATCTATCTATCTTTTTATTTATTACATTGCACTTTATATACACATATATAATATTATATATAGATACATAACACATACATAAATACATATATACACACTACACGACATAAACATCTACTCATATATATATCATACTTATATACGAGTATTATTTATTATATAAAAAAAAATACAGTTCTTATAATAATTTAATAACTGAAATGTATTGTTATTGCCATAATGAGTAATATAAAATATTATTAATATAAAATTGTCTAAATAAATGAATATATACAATATTAGTTATAAATACTACTCTCGTAGTCCATGTAACATGGATATACAAGTATATAGGTAAAATATAATTAGTAATTAATAAAAAATATTTTAGTAAAAATAATTATTATATAGTAAAAATAATTATAGATTAAGATTAAGATGATTGAATAATTTAATTAAGATTAAAAAATTATAAAAATATAAAATATGATTAAAGTATATAATCATATATTTAAGAAATAAAAAAATAAATTATGTGGGACGAAGAGAATAATATCTTAATAATAAATAAAAATATTAATTATTATCTTAGTAATATCTTCATAAGAATATTTTCAAGAAATGAAAAGATAAATGATGTGGAACGGAGGAAGTAATATCGTAATAATAAATAAGAATATTAATTATTCTTACTATTAATCACTATTTTGTATATTATATAAGTAGATGTTGGTAGAATTGTGTATATAAATATTATATATATGGATATATATATACACACACGTGCGTATATAAATAATGATTATGTTTATATGTGCATGAGTTTGTATGGATGAATGCAAGCATAGGGTTGAGAGCCTGAGAAATTTGATTTTTTCATTTGTACTTCACATATATATATAGGCCTTTCACCGTCTTATGTGAATGCAAATTGAACCGTCATATGAAATATGTCAATCAATAAAAGTATTGACGTCTATATGTATATAGCAACAATGTATATGTATACGTAGTTCTTATATATATATAGATATATAATACTTCATTTTGGGAGCATTTATATAAAGAATGTGTCTCGTTAAAATTTTATTCGAAAAAATTATATGAAACAAAATCTAAGTGAAGGAAAAAGAGTACATCATTCTTGTATTTATTGGCTCCCTTGATTTGAACTTTACTTGAGATCTTTAAGCTGACACATTTCAATTTATTTCACCAATTTGTTGAATGTTGTTGTCAGTATAGCCTTGGTTAACAAAATCTGCAAAATTATCAGACAATGGGATTTGTTGCACATCGATTTCATTATTCTTTTGAAGGTCGTGAGTAAAGAAAAATTTTAGTGAAATATTGTTCTATCTTCTTTAATATATCTACCTTTGAACTGATCAATGCAAGTTGCATTGTCTTCGTATATAATTGTTGGGGGATTTTATTTTCAAACATGAACCCACAATTTCTTTTAATATGATGGGTCATTGACCTCAGCCAAAGACATTCTCGATCGGCTTCATGAATAGTCAATACTTCAGCATAAATTGATGATATAGCGATTATTCTATTTTGTGGATCTCCAAGAGATCACAGTATCCATGCATGTAAATATATAGTTGGTTTGCGATTCTTTTTTTTTTTTTTTATCAAGTTAGAAAAATACCCAACATCAGCATAGCCTAATAAATCATGTCGAGAATTATTTGGATAAAATAGGACAAAATCACTTGTCCCTTGAAGATAGCACAAAACATGCTTAACTCTATTCCAATGTTGTTTATTAGGAGATGAACTAAATTTGACTAATAAATTTACTGCTAATGAAATACTTAGCCTTGTGCTATTTGCTAGGTACATTAGTGCATCTATTGCATTGAAATATGGTACTTCAGGACTAAGTATCTATTCATCATCTTCTCTTGGTCTAAATAGATCTTTGTTAGAATCAAGTGACTTGACGATCATTGGGGTATTCAATGAACGTGTTTTATCCATATAAAATTGCTTTAATACCTTTCGGGTATAAGTGGTTTGGTGGATGAATATTCCATAATTTACGTATTCAATTTTGAGACCAAGACAAAACTTTGTCTTTCTAAAGTCTTTGATTTTAAATTCTCTTTTCAAATATTTCACGGCTTATTGGAGCTTTTCATGAGTCCCAATAATATTGAGATCATCTACGTATACCACAATGATCACAAATTTTGATCCATTTTTTTTTTTTTATGAAAACACATGAATAAATTGGGTCATTAGTGTAATATTTTTTTGTTAAATACTTAGTGAGGTGATTATATGCAAATGCCTTATCAATGATTTTTTTTTTCTTTTCAGTTCCAACTTTTTTTTTGTAGTGGTGAAGTTAATTGAATTTTCAATAGTTTCATTTTTCTCTAAGGTAGGCTCTTCAAGAGCATCTTCTTCAAAAATTTGTTCTATATCACTACAAGTTGTTTTAAGGATTGAATCATTAATCAATATTCTTTTCTTTTGAAAATTTTTTTATCCTTGGAATCCATAGGTCTGCCATGCTTCAGGCGCGCAGAAGATTCATTGACATTTTTTGTTTATCCTTCTAGGACATTCTTTTTTAACGGTGCATTTTCTGCAGGAATATACGACTTGGTAACTCTGCCGGAGTCATTAAATCCATCGGATAGTTGATTTGCAATATTTTGAAAGTGTACAATTATTTGTACTTCTAATTCATATTGCGCGAACGAAGATCTAGGATTTTCATGGGTATTATGTTGACTTTTGATTTTTTTCAACTTTGGGTGGGAGAAATACTTTTTGTATTTCAATATCGTGTACAAAGTCACACTATCAATTAAAAAAATATTGTATTCTTTATAATATATAATTTGACACATGACATCTATATTTTTTTTGGAATAAAACAAACAAAAAGACAATATATTAATATAGCCAATAGAATATACAATATGATACAAAAAAAAGAGGATTACAAAAAGTAGAAAGGAGTACAAAAAGTAATAAAACAGTAAAATATATAATCATTTGGCACCTTCAGGGTGCTTAAGGAAGTCTGTTGTATCAAGATGCATAATATCGTTGTTTAGGACATCCTCATATGTGTCATCATTATTCTGTTCAACGATATTTAAGTCAACAGACGTGTTTTTCAGGACATCATTATATGTGTCATAATTATTCTGTTTAGAGAAATTTACGTCAATAGGCGTGTTTTTTCCTTTCAGCGAAGCCTAGTACAAATCAGCCAAATGCTTAGGCATTCTGTAGACATGCGACCAGTTTTTCTTTGTGCCACACATGTGACACTTATCTTTATAATTTCTTTTTTGCTCGTCATTCTGCCACTTTAGGGATATGTATGGTTTCTTCCCATTATTTCGACGAGGCTAAGGATGGTCACATCTTTGGCCTCTTCCATATATTCGGCTTTTGTTTTTTCCGCGTCCTGAATTTGCATATTTTAGCGCATTCGCTTTAGGGAATAGGCTGGAATCTGTTGGCCTGGATACATGATTTTTCAATCATAGTTCGTTATTTTGTTCTACCAACAAACATGTAATAAGAGCTGAATATGTGTTGAAGTCCCTCTCTCGATACTGCTGTTGTAAAAGCAAGTTTTAGGCGTGAAATGTGGATAATATTTTCTCCATCATGGACTAACATTAATGTTCTCGCCGCAGAGGTTCAACTGTAAAGTGACCCTGAACATGAAAGAGTTATATTCAGTGACCAATTTGAAGTATTGCAATCTCAAATTTTCCCATTTGCTACGGGCTTTCGGCAGTATGATTAACTTCAGGTGATCGTATCTTTCTTTTAGTTTATTCCACAAATCAAGAGGATTCTTTACTATGAGATATTATATTTTTAGCCCTTCATTGATATGATTTCGGAGGAATATCATTGTTTTTATTCGGCTCTAATTGGTGACATTATTGTATTTCACAATTTTTTTCACTTGAGCTTATCGATTTTAGATGCATTTCAATATCCATGACCCTTGGTAGAAATTTTTTTTCAGAAATGACAAGGGGGACAAATATTTGTTTTGCAATGTTAGTGGCCACAATAATATTGAAATATACCTACTGTGCCAAAATGGTTGATCGTGCTGATAACATGTTATAAATATAAATATTTTAATAACAAATAAAAATATTAATTATTCTTACCGTTAATCACTATTTAGTATATTATATATTATATAATATAAGTAAATTTATATATTATATAATATAAGTAAATGTTGGCAGAGTTGTGTATATAAATATATTATTATTATATATATGTAATGATTATATTAATATGTTAATAAATATGCATGAATGCAGTTAGAGAGTTGAGAGAGTGAAAAATTTGATTTTTTTTCATTTACAATTCATATATATAGAGACAGAGGGAGACCATAGGATCAAAGGATGAACGAAGATAGATGTATTAGATTGCAAAAAATAAATACAAATTAGTGGTATGGATTGGCCAGTCCAAATGGAAAGGGATGTTAGAGTTAGACAGTAAGATTAATAAATTTTAAAGTAATTATTCAATATCTTGTTTTTTATAATAATTTTTTAGCATTAGAGTTTTGAATCAAAGTACTTTGAATTTTAAGGACATTAATAATATTACAGTCTTAAATTAAAGTATTTTGATATTTAAGAACATGATATTCTTGAATCAAGGTTCTTGGACAGACTCAGACAAGTATTGATAAATAGACCCAGATTGACACACTTGAATAACATTGGACATAAACAAACTTGAATAGGCTTTTGGTTTATACATTTGATAGATAAAGATACACAAACTCCTAAAGGTTGGAGGTAACATTTTGGGAAACTATAAAAACTAAGATGAAAGATTACTACATAGTTACTCAAACTTGATTAGGATGTTAATACTTCAGAGCCTTAAAAAAAGATGAATGACTCTCTAACTCGCACTTGTCCCCCTTTTCTATGATGAAGTTAAACCTATTATATAGGCGGAGACAGAGGTCTTGGAGCAAATAAGCAGGGACTAGTTAACAAATTTCAAAACGGTTTTGTCCACTAAAGCATCATACCATATGTGGAAAGTAGTGGTGGTCTTGTCGATCATCATGCCATGCTCGATTAATGGAACTTGTCAGGGAATATATGTATATATAATATGTATATATACGGATATAGATGTATGTTTACATAAATATTTATGTGGATATGTATATATCTAATATGTATATTTATATCGTGTGTGTATATAGAATATTTCTTTGTTTTTTTAAAGTTTGTGTTTTTTCCGAGGGCATTTTGCAATTGTGTTATAATTGATGTTTTCATATTGTGTAGATGACGTCTCCCGTATTTTGTAGAATGTTGTCAGCATTTTTTTTGTTTTTTTACATTTCACTATTACCATGCCATGTGTCATTGTTGGATTGGCTTGTTGATTCATTTGAGCATAATTGCTTTTGTAATATTCAGATGGCTTCCTCTAGAGTTTTTGGGGCTGGGACGAGGGAGACAATATGAGATCTTTGTTCTTGGAACTTGATATGCGGAGTTGTTGGTTTCTCTGAAATCTGTTTTATTTTTGTATCTAAGAAAACCCATGTCTCGATTTGTTCCAGTTGTATATTTTGACAATTGAGCATTTCCCCACAATTTCACATTAAATCTTTTTCGAAGTATATTTTGTGGAGCACCATGAACTAGAAGAGTCCAAGAAAAGATCTCGGAGGCATAAAATTTTGTAAAAAAAATTGCTAGTGGGGTAAAAAAGGATTCCTTATGGTCAGTGTGAAAGTATTTGCTAGAAAATAGATCAAAGGATTTCTGGATGATAGGTGGAAGAATTTCAATGACAGTCTCAAAGTATTCCCACAATGTCCAACATATGGATAAAGAGTTTATGTTGATTGTTCGATCAAAGTAAAAGATTCATGAATGTTTTTTTGAATTATTAGTGACCCAAATGGAATTTAACAATACTTGTTGGTATTCAAAGTAGTTGAAGTATTTTGGTTCAAATAGTAAATCAGAGTATTTCTCGCCAAAGGCAATAGATTCAGTGAGTGATCCATACCAGTCAAATTGGTAAATATATCATGTGTATAAACCATAAGTATGTTCAAGTCTACTTATGTCCAATTTTATTCAAGTGTGTCAATCTGAGCCTACTTACTAATAGTTGTGTGAGTTTGTCCAAGAACCTTGATTTAAGACCGTAATGTTCTTAAAATTTAAAGTACTCTAATTCAAAACTATAATTCTAAAAAAAATATTATAAAAAATAAAATCCTGAATAATTACTTTAAATTTATTGATTTTACTATCTAACTCTAACATTCCCTTCCCCTTGGACTGGTTAAGCCACATCACCAATTTGTACTAACTTGTATATATTTTCTGTAATCTAATAGATCTATCTTCATTGAGAATGGTTACGGAAACATCACACACACAACACTTGTTATGTATAATAAATATATGTGTTGTTTTTTAATTATAACAAGTATGATGTATACAAGTATGTCATGTGCTAAAATTAATTGTTATGTGTGTTGTATGAAAGTATAGTATGTGTATTATATACAATATGTTGTCTGTAGTAATACTATGTACTGTCTGTAGTTATATTGTGTGATGTTAAGACTATAACATGTATGTTTTGTTCGTATGTTGTATTTGTATTATATTAACATATATAGTGTTTTGTTTGTAGTAATATTCTATATTATTTAATAACACATGATATGTTGTTCAGCACAGTACTCAATTTTAAATTTAACATTTTCATTCCTTTTATATCCTTCGATCCTATGGAATCTTTGATATATTTAGGCATTTGACCACCTTATAATATGAATGCAAATTGAACAGTCATATGAAATGTTTCAATTAATAAAAGCATCTACGTTTATACGCATGTATACTAATGTGTTACAAATTGTATATTTATATGAATAATTTGATTTGAGCATTATATTGTAACTTTAAAAAAAAAAAAATGTATAAGAATTAGTCACGGTACAGTTATGTGAAGAAATTATGTGTCACGAAAAAATAAAAAATAAAAACTTTATTTTAAATAGTATTCAACACTTTTTAGAAAAATATATATAATTTTAATATTTTTTTCTTATTATTTATACTGATATAAACTGATGGGTATACAAATTTAAAGTATTATATATTGATTATTCCTTTACAATTTAACTATATAACAATTATTAAATTTTTTATTTTATGGGTTGATCAAGATTTTTATTATTCTAACTTATTTAATTTGAAATCTGTAAAATTATTATTCATTAATAGCTTATATTTATAATGAAAAATGATATGCAAAAAAACTTGGAGTGTATTAAAACTTAATCAATATAAATTCGATATTATAAAAAATAAAAAAATAAAAAGAAATTCTAATCAACGCAAGAAGTTTTGATGTAGCTCAATAATATTAGAATAATAACTTGTTAGGTTTTCTTTTCTAGATTTTGGTTATTCATAAATTCCAAAAAAAATAATAAAATATTTTTTTTCATATTATATTAAAATTAATTACATTCAAAATATCATATAAATATTTATTTATATTATATTATATTAAATAACAATTTAAATTTTAAATTTTATTATTCAAAATTCAAAATTCAAATGCAAAACTCATACATCATTCTTATTCTTATAATACTATTAAAGATCATAGTTTTCTTCTCTTATTATTTCAAATCAAAATCAACATTATCTACAATTTTTAATAAAAATAAAATATTTTTTCTCATAAAATATCACATTAAAATTACTATTTAAATAAAAATTTAAAATGCTTTATTTCAAATAACTTTCAAACTATTAAAAAACAAAACCCTTTAAATTTGCAATACACACCAAAAAAAAAAAATTTAAATAAATATTGAGACGTACGTACCTTAGCATGAAAACAAAAGGAGCACATGTAGGAAAAAAACAGCATGGTCCAGTTGCAGTGTAAATAAAGGCGAAGGCAATGACTGAATCAACTCTTTCCGCCCCTCTCCTCCCTCCCCTGTCTGTCATCACATCACATCACATGAAACCAAACTTTGTCTCACAGTTTTCATGGCTCCCACTCATCAATCTGTCCCCATCCATAACACCCCTAAACTTGATTCAAATGAGAGGGAAATCCACCTTTCAATTCCATCAAATTCTGGAAATATTCTCAAAAGGGATGATGAATCACAATGGACTCTGCCTTCTACTTAGCTCAAACCTGTCACAAAACCATCTCCAATTTCATGATCATCAATCATTTACCTGTAGAATTTTATAACAGCATGTACCTTTTCAGATATTAGCATCTCATCTCTGTCAGGCACAAGCCTCTGAGGAGCTTCCAAACTTGCCTTTCTTCGACCACAGCCAAATCTTGGACACAGAATAGCTATCAGTCCTTGTTCCAATGCTTATCTTCTTCCCCTCCATGTTGTTATCTGCTGCAGCCATGGCCGTTTGGGCAAGTTCTTGGTCTTGACTTTGGCTTAAACTCACTTTCAGATCAGTATTGTCAATGACATATTGATATGAACCCATTGAGTAACACCTTCTTGCATCCAATTTACTGCTCCCGATTTCTTCCCCTAATTCCTCTCCAGATTCATACAATTTCTGGAATTTACCAAGCCTGACTGGAAATCCTCCCTTTTCTACCTCCATTTCTTCTGTCTCCACTCTGATCTGACCATTCGACAATCGGTTCACATCGCTGTCTTCTTCCATAAAATCATTGAAATAAAAAATTGGATTCTCGATTGAGAATCCGGGGCTCAAAATTGCCCCCCTGCAGAGAGGGCAAGTCGAATTCGACTGCAGCCAAGTGTCGATACAGCTCATATGAAAAGCATGGCCACATATAGGAAGCAATCTCAGCTTATCCACATCCATGAATTCACACAAACAAACTGCGCATTCAAAGTGTTCTTGCAAACCAACGATTTCCTTATACTCAAAGATAGGTAATGCGTCTATAAAAGCTTGCTCCAAACCTGTGTCGTGTAGGTGAAAGAGCTGCTGCAGCTGCCTTTGAAGAGTGTCCGAACCTGATGCGGTCATATTTCGATTAGGATGGGATGGCGAGGGGCTCTTTGTAAGGAATCTAATCAGCAAGTGAAGCAGACCAGATATGAAAAACAGTGCAGCTATAATTACAATAATGAAGAGGATTGCAGGACTGATTTTCGAAGATGAGGATGAGCTTGAAGAAGGCAGAGGACTAGATTGGTAATTCAACACGCCCTGCCTGTGGTACATGTTCATATGAATTAACTCTTCCTGGAATTGCATTTCTGCACGCAAACATACGCAAATCTGAAATCTCTCCCTCAACGAACGCAGAAATCATTCCCAATTAATTCGACACCACAATAACCTAACACAACTCGACACCAAAATTATGCGTCGATTAAGGCGCAGTACGATCGGAAAACTACTTATTCAGCAGCGAATGGTCTGGTTGTGAGTAGATTCAACAATTATGAACAGTGTGAAAATTTTAAATGAGCCAGAAGCTTCGGAAATCAAGGATTTACCTGAATTGACACTGGAGTAGACGATTCATTGACGCAGCAAGCTCCAGTGATGCTGATTCCGGTTGAGAGCTTGAAATCCTGCAACGCGTTTCATATTTCCATGAACAAAGTAAAATTTAAAATTCTCAGCTCTCTCGCTCCTACGCATATCCACATTCAAACAAACTCGCACGCAGTAAGAATTCGCATTTGATTTCTCACTTTAATCGGCAAAAATAGAGAGTGGTGAGTCCATTTTGACGCAGCGTATCTGCCGGATGAGGGAAAGACGAGGCCAAGCTGAGCGTCACTGTGCTCCGAAAAGAAGGTTAAAGTATGCCAAAAAAAAGACACCTGTTGTTTTTAAATTACTATAAGACTGTACAGAGAAGATGCTATTATTTGTACTCCCGGGTGTTCCGCTCCTGGATCAATCTCCGCTGCCTGTGATGTGAGGGGGGATACCCGTGCTCTACACAACGCGAATGCCCGTGCAGGAGTTCAAGTCCTGGAGTTATCTACTCCAAGATTAGTGTTTCAGTGGTCGACATTTCTAACCGACGTGTCACTCTAGCGGGAAAAAAGTAATGTTGGCCTTAAGTTAAAATCGAAATGCGGTCCACCGGAGATGGGCTGCCTGCGTTTGTTTGTATGTTTTTATTTTATTTTACTTTATTTTATCGGATATTTGTATGTATTTTGCTTAAAATACTTCTTTTATATTTTAATAATCTATCAATTTTTTAAGTTCATTTCGTAACAAAATATTTATTTTTAAAACTCCGTAAAAAAAATAAATTGATAGATAGAATGGGATGAGAGTATATTTTTTAAATTGATTTTGATTTTTATTTTTAATACTAGATATCTGTTAGTTTTTGCAAGGAATTTAAAGTATATTAGTATTATATTCATATGTAAGTAGGAATAAAAGTAATGATATTTGTATAATATACAGTAAGTCGTAAGTTGTAAGGGTATTTATAATGTTAAGGAGATAGTACATTTACTAAAAAAAAAATTGAATATTTTATTATGAAACATACCAAAATAAAAATATAAATAATTTGTTAAAGGATCGGGGAGTATAATTAGTAAATTTTAAATACAATAAATCATCCTTAGCAAATAGATGATGCTATTATGTTTAAATGTTTTAGGATTTTTAAAATAATTAAAAAAATCAAAAAATCAAAAATTAAAAGTAGATAAAAATTATTAAATAGATAAAATTATGTTTTAGTAATTCTGAGAATTACTTAAATAGATAAAATTGAATAGTTTTCAAAATTGCTAATTGTAAAATTAAAAAACTGGAAACTCTTTATTTATTTTAAGAAGAATTTAAATAAAGAAAGACATATTTGTAAATTTTTTTATCTCAATCCATCATTTTATTTACTATCCCAACTGCGTTGTCTCACCGCCGTCGCCGCCAATCGCCAACCACTTCCGCACTCAGCCGTTGATAGTCGTACGCATTCAAAGCTAGTTTGAACGCCACTGTCGTCACTCCTAAAATCTCCGCATGCCACCACAGCAGGCGTAGGGCGTCGATCCCCTTCTTATTCTTCCTTCAATTACCGAAGTCTGTAAGGTAATTCTTTTGATTTTGATTGATTATGTATTAGGATTCTAATTTTCGCATGGTTGGTATTATTTAGTTTGAATCCGGTTGGTGCAAAGTTGAAAAAAAATACAAATCTTTGTTGGTATTTTTGTATTGATTAGTTCATTATGTCTTGTGCATATGAAAAGTCATACATTCTTTAGTATTTAAGCTAAGCAATAACTTGGCTCAGATTCTGCTATATTATTTCGATTTCAACAATAAAGATTCAAAGTTTTCTAGTAATATGAGTATTAATCTAACATATTGATTTTTTCATGAAAAAACGGTCTTTTTCCTTGTGTAATGAATGTGTGAGTTAGCTGCAAATGGTGTGACGTTTGAAAGATTTGGAGTGGAATTTTTCGTTTAAAAGTTTTTATTTTATTTTTCTAATTTGCTCATAAAATTCGACATTGTTAAATTTGACATTTTATCTTTAGCAATATTGATCAACTCCAACATGTTTCATTTATTATTATTATTATTATTGAATTTTCACAAAATTGCGCAAGTCTGTGTGTTTCTTTCTTTACCAATACAAAATTTTGATCAGTAAGCTTTATATATGAACTAGATTTGTAAAAAATACCGTATATAATAGATGTTTTCGATGAAGTGATTTTAGTGTGGATAATCGAATTAGGTTGTATATACAATTTATTTTGGAAATACATAAATATTATGCTCTTTATAAGGACAATAAATTTGTGTATAATTATTATTATTATTATTATTATTATTATTACTACTTCAATTTTATTATTTTCAAATTATATTTTCATATCGAGATGGATTTTCCGGTTGATTACTTCATCTTCAATCAACACATCGTTTTGAACGCATTAAAAATGGTAAGTTGATTGATCATAAGTTTAGTTTTGTTTGTCCCAAAAGGTATTGAACTAGTATCTCCATTTTACATCATCTTAGGTTTCTTGAAATATTGCATCACACAGGGTTTTATGGGGTATATAGAGTTAGACGTGAACAAGATCATGATCTTCTTACAACATTAGTCGACGTTAGCATCCTGTAACACATACTTTTCATTTTAGATTTGGTGACGCTACGGCTACATTAGAGGATATTGCTATGATCCCTCCATTCCAAATATCCTACAATATTTCTTTTTTTAAAAAAAAAAATTTAAAAGTAATTAATTATGTCTAATTTTTAATTAACATTAATTATTTTTTAAAAGATGGAAAGTACAGTGTATTAAATGGAGTGAATAAAATTACATCAGAATGTTGGAAATTAAATCACACCGACCATTCACACCAACCAATTTGTTTATTCTTCACCATCATACCCAAAATTCTGAAATTATGGTTAGCAGACGTAGTTGATGGCAATGGATCGTTCAGCAGGCATCGTCTCATCCCCACCCCCCACGTTCGTCTCATCCACCCCGCTCGACAAAGAAGCCTATGTGATTGTCAACGACTTGGAGCTCAATTCTTAGGTTGAGGAGACGCCGGAGATGTGGAGTTTAGAGGATGTATGGAGGGCTGCCATTCGAGGGTGGATCTGACTCCTACGTGATTGTCGATGACTTGGAGCTCGATTCTTGGGTTGAGGAAACGCCGGAGGTGTGGAATTTAGAGGATGGAGGGCTGCTGTTCGAGGGTGGATCCACCGCTAGTACCGCGTCACAGTTGCTTTTCCGACAGCCACTCACAATGGTGGAAGAGATGCTACTTATCTACTTGCCTAGCTACTTCGATATGTGAGTGCGTTCTAATTTTGGCTTTTAATTTTTGTCTGCTTATATGGATCTGTGATTGATTTTTTTTCGATCTATGCTTGACTCTGTTGTTATGGCCCTCATAATTTACAATGCATGATCGATCTATTTAAGGGGTCTATGATGATGAATATGATATGTTAAATGTTGTGATATTTCTCTTGGTTGTCATTGTTTTTGCCTTCCAAAATTCTATTATTCATATGGGAATATTAGAAATTTGTTGATTCTTTAAATTTCATAAATGGAGGGGATAATGATGATAATATACTGAATAAATTCTACAGTTGTTCAACATATGCCCGAGTTAGTTCATACATCAAAAATAAGATAGGCTAAGTACTTACATGAGACAAAAGTAGGCTCTAACTTCAATTCGTAACATACTCTGTATGTGATTTGCATAATCTAGTTTTCCATGATCGGTGAGCCATGGAACACACTGTTTTACTAATTCTTGAGATACTTGGAGATTGTTAGGTAGGGCATCCCGTCGATGTAGTGCTTTCTTGCTCATATGTGGAATATAATATGCATTGCGTTCTTTGATCCTCATAATCTTTAGTATGCACCCCTGTAGCCTTAGGAAAATATAGTTAAGGGTTTCGGCTGATAGTTGATCGTATGAACGTCTAACTGCATCCACCAACTAGTCAATTGTGGTACTTGCCTATTCAATTTGAATGCTTTGAATTGCCCTAAATCATTAAAGATCATTAACATTTAAATCGGAAGAATTAGGGGGATGGTGCACGAGAACAATATTGAATCCAGCGTCGCTTACAACAGCACAAAAATATGGATTGTTGTTCTTAATGTGCGGCTTTGCATTGTCTTATTAAATGAATATTATTTTGCTTGCATTGAGAGGCCACTTCTGTTTGATTGCTGGGATAATCTAAAAATTTCATATGTACAAATGTTAGCTTGGAATAATTATGAATGAAAACAACTAAAAATGCATACATGATTGATTATACATTCTTTGATGACATCCTTTGTGATTGATTCAATTGATTTAGTTTCTAGTGTGCCGGCTGGCCGGTTCTTGCTAGCTCTCTAGGCTGGAACTTGTCGTGTGAATGAGAATATTTCAATCTTCCGATCAAATAAAACCTGTCGGTCTGGGCTGAACATTAGCAGACTAACAACACACAAAAACATGATTTTTCATGCTCTATGTGGCTCGGCTTCTCCCAGAGTCAAATAAAAATGCCTAGTCTTTCTTGTCAAGTAAAACCATTTTTTGTCTATATGAATTGTGTTATACATACATCAAAAGGTCAATTCTTGTTGGATAGCGTTGTAAACTAGATTGTTCAATACAAACTCAAGCCTTAATAGCTTATTCGGGGCAGTAAGATCTGGCTTTAAGGCACTCGTATGGGTTCTGAACAGCCCTTTCGAGATCCATCGCCCGACAGTAGATTTTGAGCAATTAATGGAAGCCGCAAATTGACGTATTGTACCCTTCATATTTAGGGCTACAGTTTGGATATGTTCCATGTTCGGAACTACCCATTTTTTAAGCTTTGTTTTAAAGCAGGTTCGTATAATTGCAATTGTTTTCCTTTGTTTTTGTTGCATTTTAGCCTCTTTCCAAATTCTAGTTATAGTAAATCTAGACACGGAAAATAAAGTGGTAGCTTCTTTCATTTTACTGTGTATTGACTTTCTATTTTTTCAAGTCTGTAATAGGAATTGGACTAACACATTTACTGCTTTGTTTTTAACATTGTAATTGTCATTTTCAGTCCAGAAATTAGGAAAATGCTCGTTTGAGAATAAATTGCTGGAAAAAAAAAAAATCGACCATGGGCTATTTAGTTTGACTACTTAAATTTTAATATATAAAATGTAAAAACAATGAGGTGTGAAAAATACCTTATCGTCCTTTCTGGGTCCATTTTTTTGCATCTAATTGTAATAGATGAAATGAAGATGAATTGGATAT